CATTTTGGACTGCACAGTAGTTGACACCCCTAGCCCCCAGGTTGTTCACGAGTTAGCTGTACTCTGTTCATATTCCTTTAGTGGTTACTCCAGAGATGACAATACATATATATTTATCAGAATCTAAATCTGTTTTGTTTTGTTTTGTTTTTAGTATAGCAGGTGCTCTTTTTCTTCTTTTTTAAAATGTATCTTTATTGTTGAATTACAGATGTCCCCCTTTTTATATCTTTGTCCTCTTCGTTGCTAATTCTTTGCATGTGACTTGCCTGGGAATTAATTACATGACTTCATGGGCACGATCTCATTTTACCCTCATCCCTCTAGAAAAGGTGGCTACACTGCTCTTGCCATTTTATAGATGAGGAAACGGGTTCTTTGGCCACTTGGGTGACTTAGTCTGGATCACTGACCTAGTAAATGGTGAATCTGAAATTTAGGCCAAAGTCTCTCTATCTCTAAATGTGGAATTCTCCTCACTGGTTCCTTTTGGGACATTTTTTTAATTCTTTTTTTAAAGTGACTCTTTAGGTAAGTTTAAATAATTGAGTAATAATGGCAGCATTGATTAAATGAGCACAGAGCCTCCAAATGAAATTTTATTAAATAGTCTTTATTTAAATGTAGACTATTTTCTACATTTTTTTTTTCTATTTCTTTTTAGGTATACTTTGTTTAACCTGAGTTGTAGTCTTTCATCAAAGAAATCTACATTCTGAAGCATATTAAGAATCTTATCTCTCCTCCAGGTCCATCCATGCTGTCACAAAGGGTAAATTTTTCTTCCTTCTTAAAGCAGAATAGTATTCCATTGTATAAATATACCACAGCTATTTTATCCACTCATCTGTTGATGGATACTTGAGCTGCTTCCAAATCTTGACTATTATAAATAATGCTGCAATGAACACAGGAGTACACATATTCTTTTGAATTAGTGTTTTGGGTTGCTTTGGATAAATTCCCAGAAGTAGAATTTTAGTGAAATAAGCCAGTCAGAGAAAGACAACTAAGTAGACTGACGGAAGGTAGGAAGGAAGGAAGGAAGGAAGGAAGGAAGGAAGGAAGGAAGGAAGGAAGGAAGAGAGGGAGGGAGGGAGGGAGGGAAGGAGGAAGGAAGGAAGGAAAAGAGAAAGAGAAGAAAAGAAAACGTCTTTTTCTAAAAAAGTTATTTAAGTCAAAATAACAATGTTCTTATTCATCTGTCTGTAGCAAAGATTTTCTGCTTCGATCCATTGACAAAGATGTAGTATCTGGTGAGTGGCAGCAAAAATCCGGCTGCATCTTATGGCCAGAAAATCCTCTTTCGCCTACAAGTATCTTCTATCTGTAGTTGCCTAATTACTCTGACATATGCCCCATCTGCACTATACTATGTGTAACAGGAAAGCAAAATACTGACAACGTGAGACAATCAGTTTACAAAACATTTCCTCCTCCGCTGGGCTTCCACTGTGGTAAATTACCTTCCCACTGCATACACCAGATGTATGTTTCTAGGAGTGGGATGAAATGAGCTCACCTTCCCAAGATAAGTGCAATATGATTCCGCTGCCTCAAATGCTTAATTCTACTCTGAATGGCTCTGCTGATAGATTAGCGCAGTGTGTGTGTGTGTGTGTGTGTGTGTGTGTGTGTGTGTGTTTTACATGTTTATGTATTTATTTAATTTCAGCAAAAGTCATCTAAACTTACAGGAAGAGAGAGAGAGATCCTTCTGGATTTTCTACTCTCTGGCCAAGTAGATGCATTCTCTACTCTCCTGTAGTATTTCTAACACAGCATTTATCACCCTGGTTTGTATTTTCATAAATAAAAGGGGACAGTAGCCTCCTCCTCTAGGTGGTCAGAGGAGCAAATGCGGGGAAGCCCAGGGCAGAGTGACACACAGAGGCTCTCCATGTTAGTTCCCCAGGCCCTGATGGCCACAGAACAGCAGATTCCCGTGGAGGCCAGGCAGCAGCTCCCACAACCCAGATGCTGAGACTCCCCCCCTTTCCCTGTTCTTCATCTTGGGCTGAGACCCTCCCAGGAAACCAGGGCAGGGGGAGGAGAACGCAGGAGAAGCAGGCTTCTGCTCACCACTCACGCTTGCTCAGCTGCAGGCTTTTGGGTCTCCCCTGCTTCTTGCCTGAGAGCCCAGGTACTAGGAACCCTCTGAATGCCTTAAGGAACCGGGACAAAATCAAGTACCTGTGTGGTATCAGCACCCAGATTGGCTATTGGAAGCCATGGCGCCCACAGTGGGGAACTAGCCAGAATGGAGAATGAGGAATTCCATTTCTCCCGAGTGATTGCGGTTTAAGATTTGACTGGATGGCTGATGGCTCCCCATGACAAATGCTCCGTTTCCCAGGCTGCGTTCCGCTGTCTGCAGTGATGTATTACATCGAGACGGAACCTCCCAAGGGTTTGGGGCTTTCTCTCTCCTCCGTATCTGAACATTTGTACACGCACCATCTTTTTTGCTACTTGTGCTGCGTTTCATCAATATCTGTCTTCCTCTCTCGATAAAAAGTTGCGTTGTAGTTAACATGGTTCACACATAATCAATAGCGCCTGCCAGAGTTAGATGAAGGGCTCCATTTTTTTAAAGGCAAAACTTGCCTGAAAGAATCTTTGCTGTTAAGATCAATGCTTATATTTTGATAATGATGCGCAGATTATTTTAAGGCTCTGATCAGCAAAATGTTTAAGTCACTGTGCCTGTTTGTTTGTTTCTTAATCAGCTGTTATAAAAGTGTGTTTTTTGTTTCAGTATTTCAGAGGAAACAATTCTTTTAAAAAATACTTTGTGAGTCTCTTCAGAGGCAGATGCAAGAAGGAGACAGGGACATTCCCGGAGCTCAGCCACCACCACCACCAGCCTCCGCAGCAAACGCTAGAGAGGTGACCCCGCGGAGCTGCAGAAGCGGGAAGAGGAGGAACTGAACCCGCGCCCCCTCTCCGCGCCCACGCAGTGGGTCAGAACTACACCCAGCTGCTTATCACCAACCAGAAGCTGGTGGGAAGGCTTTTGACGGGCACTGCAACATGTGCTGGGGCATGCGAAGGCGGTCCCCCAGAGTGGCAAGAAGTCCAAGCCAGTCAACACGGACCGCTGCACCTCCAAGATGGTCCTGCGCCAGGACTCGGGTCCTTGTGGTCCTGTGGACCGCTCCCCGCTGGCAAGCAGGGGCTTCCTCCTGCTGTCACAACTCACTCCCCCGTCCTGCAAAGACCTGCCTTTTCACAGGAGAACAAGAAAATCCTGTATTTTTTCTAGTGAGAAAAAAACTTTGTGATAACTTAAAAATAGAACATATCATCCCCTTCATGTTTTATCCTGAATTCCTGAAAACTACTTGCATTATAGAAAATTGAATAAATCCTCAAAGGGAAACTTTAGTTAACACTTCCTATAGTGGATTGTCCCATACACAGAGTAATACAAAGTTTCATATTAGATGGATTCCATATGAATCATTTATATGGGAAAAAATGAAACATTGTCATAAATTTTTAAAATTCACAAACAGGCTTTAAAAAATGTTTATTATTCCATTTAAATACAATGTTCGTTTACATATCTCTCCATAATTGTCTTTTGTAAAAAAAAACAAAACATATAAATACAAAGTTACAACGAGAAATTTCACAGGAACAAACAGCTCCTTCATTTCTGACTTTTTAAAACTACATAACAAATTAAAACACAGGTCCCTTTGAAAAGTAGAGTCTTTCAAGGTTAAGAACTTGATTGCCCTCCATTTTGTAAAACATATGAAGAGATGAATTGGCAGTTACAAAATAGTCACAGGAAAGGAAGGAAAGCCTAGGGAATATAATCAGTCCTATTGAGATCGCTATGCATGGTGCCAAGTGGGGTACTGGAAATATTGAGGGGAACACTATGTAAAGTATATGATTATCTAACCACTAAGTCATATACCTTAAACCAAAACAAAATACAATTTCACAAAAGAATTTGATTACCCTTAATATAAACAAATCTAAAATCTTCATATAATAAAATGCCAGTCAGTTCTGAAAATACTAAATAGACTAGTCATCCAACCATGGGGAATTGTTTGAAATGATTTACCAAATCTTTCTATTTAAAGCAGAAATGACAAATTGTCATCTTTATATTTGGCCCCAATACTCCTATTATAGGACGATATTTTAAAAATTTATGTATAATTTAGAAAACTACGTTAGGACATACCCATCATAGGTAAAGCTCCTTTCTTCTTCGGCAAATTAAGGAGTGTTGTATACTAGGCCCCATGGTCTGGGTGGAAATTGTAGGACTCTACAGTTCTGAAAACAGGGTTTCTACCTGATGTAGGATTTGCAGGGCCAAAAATTTAGAAAAGAGATGAGTAGGAACATTAAAGCACCGAAGAGTAGAAACAGTGAGGAGTGGGGAGAGGTCTGGCTTAGCACTGAGAATCACAATAAAAGCATGAATCTATTACTGGAAGGACTGAACATTGCATTTACATGTTATAAAACTCAGGGTATCCACAGTCACAGATAGAGTATCAAAACAGGAAAAGACGGAGGGCTGGATATGAGGGCTTTGACAATGTGTAACGTTCTCCATCAGTACATGTTGTGGTTTCATGCCACATTCTTTTAGATGGAGTAAAGTTGTAAGATGCATTGTTTGCATCAGCAACCGATTGGCTTTCATTACAATATAGGATTTTATTAGTGCAAATGCATTGACTATTTACAAGCATATATGATAACTGCATTTAAAAGCAATCTGAAGGAATATATTATATGAGAAACTGTCCTAATATTTTTAATCTACTTTGCAGAAAATCTGGAAAGTGATCAACAATAGTCTTGTTTTAAGCACAGACTGTAAAATAAAGTTTACCTTCATTATGGATAACAAAACAATTTTACATGCTGTAAATTTTAGTATAAGTGCTGTAATTTAGTACTTTTTATAGATTTTCTTTCATTACTTAATTCATAAAATTAATTAGGATACATAGGAATTATAATATTACATTTTAAATAGATCTTTTTCAATGGCAACTATTTTTACAATATTTACCTTTAAAATAAAACATATAAACATTCCTTCATATACACATGAGCTACTTCAAAAAGTGGGAATACCCTTTTCATATGTAAACATTTTTTAAAGAAGTATTTACAAGAGAAGAGATTAATTTTCCCATCCAAAGATAAAAATATGTGATATCCCTCTTATTCAACAGTTATTCTTCTCATTCTTTCAGCTAATTCTTTTCTCACTTCAATATGTTTTTCTAAATTTTGCACTTCATGTGGAAGATTGATGTCCCAAATAGACAAGCAAGATTGTAATTCTAGAAAGATGAAAAAAATGAAATAATGTCTCAAAGATGTGCCATAGGTATTTTTATTTTAACTTCATTAATTTATATTCAGTTACTTTGGATAAATGTGTATATAGAAATATACCTACATATAATGTACTAAATTATTGCCATTTATATATAAAGATTCCATTTGAGAAATTTTTTTTTAGTTGTTAAACTAACAACTAAATGTTTAAAAAGAATATGGACCTTTAATAACCTAACATCTAATTTTCTTAAAGAAATAGAGCTTTTCAATCACTGTTCAAAATCAGGCATCAAATGGATAGGTAAGATGCAAGGAAAAGTGTCCACATTTAGTGTAAATTTGGGCTAGTTCTAATTTTATAATGGCTGATATCTCTACTTTGTCATAAAATAAATATTCAACACCCCTAAATCACTGAAAATTAATTTTAAAGATTTATGTCTAAATTATTTGCACTATAAAGAAGCTATCCATTAAAAATGCTTAAAGTCTTATAGCATATGTATTACTTATTATAAATGTATAAAATACATATTATAATCATCCATATCATCACACTATGTTTAGAAAACAATATCCTATTAAACATACCTTTTTGGTGTTGCATATCTTCAGTATTTTTCCAGGTATATCCCAAAACCAACATGGCATTTTTAAGGTTTCCTTTACCAAAATAAAAAAAAAAAGAGGAGTTTTCTGTTAAAACAATATAAGTTGGACTAAAAATGTACAGTTCACATTTTAAGACACAAAACCTTGGAATTTATTATATTTTACTTTTTCAGAGACACCTAATTATATTTAATAAAAAGCTCTCCCAGAAGACCAGAAACTCTTTAAAGTTAGAAAATTTGTGATCCACCCCTTTCTATAATTTTTATTAATTGTGAGAACCTGAGAAAAATAGCTTAACCTTTCTGCAAAATGGGTTTAATATTTATACATTACCCCTCCACCAGAAGTTATATTACATAAGATTGTGTGTGTGAAAGTATTTTGATAAGACACTGGCCAAATGGGAAGCATCTGGATGGAGAACAGCAAGGATGGATACTCTGTCACAAAACCATTCTTCTCCTCAAGTCATTCATTAACTTATTCAACAAATAGTCACCAAAAGTCCCCTATGTGTGAGGCCTAGGCCAGGCCCTAGGAATAAAGGAGTAAACAAACATATGCAAATCCAACCCACAGGACTTCATGTTCTAATGAGGAGATTAGTTACTAATTAGTAACTATGTTAACTAAGCAGAAAATGCAAACCCTTGAGGCAGTATGAAGCATGGTACTTAAGATGGACTAAACATAACTCTAGACCAGCAAGCTGGGAGGAATGTGGCAAATGATGTAGGCTAGAGAGGTGGACGAAGCCAGATCATGCTCCATCTTGTATGTTATATTTAAATTTATCTTTATTTTAAAAATCAATTGAACCAATTTTGTCTCTCCTTAACATATTCCTGTGAAACAATTTACTATTTTCCTCACCCTACCAAACAGTTTATTAATAATCTGCCAAAGCGACACAAATTCTACTTTCACAGAACTTAACCCCATAATGTTACTTTTCTGATAAACTTTGTACATATACTAATATTATTATTTTAAACCAAATAATTAGCGAAAAGTAGACAATGAAATGTGATTATTTATGTAGAAAATATTTTTCATGCACCATCACGATTTCATCGTATTTAAATAGCGAAGTAGGAGCAAGGAAAGATAAAGGCTTGAGTAAAACATCATGATTTGTCAATATTTGTAGAGTGAGGAAGGAGTTCAGCATATCTTGTTACAACAATATAAATTTATTTATAGAATGAAAAGCCAAATGGAATTCTTTAACAAGGGTGGGAAGCTTAAACTATAATAAAAATAAACATATGCTTTAATTTCTTTGGGCAAAAGAAAAAAAATGCTCAACATTGTCCATTTCCCATTTGACCTTAGGTATAAGGAAAAAAGAGGAAGTAAACGCAGACTTGGGCGCTCTTGCAATAATCTGCTTCCCTTATGGGGTGGAGAGCTTCTACTCTCTCCATATCTTTAGTGACCCCATTCAAAACGTGTCCCAGGCCTATGCGGCACTCGGTGAACTTCTGAGACACTTCCAGTGACACTGGAAAGTGAAGGGAAAACTTAAATTAAAGATCAACATAGTTTATAGTCTTAGAGAACATGCGAAAAATCCACAGGAAAGACACGTGCCTATCTGCGCTGTCATCATGACTCGGACAGAGTCACAGAAGTCGTGAATTATACGGATGAGCCTGAGAGTCGAAAGGTCAAGGAGTAGCATGTAGCCTCCCCCGGTTCCAATCCAGAGAGCACTGTTCTTCTGAAGGCAGAGAGTTTTCACTCTCCCCGAGTAAGACATATTGTGTTTGGACTCCTTGTTCACTTCCACCATTTCCTCCCTACAACCATGAAGAAAGTATGCATTAATGCTTTTTCAATGATTAACTGATAAAACAGATGTGTCTATAGATATTCACAAATATATCATATTTTAAATTATGAATACATAATAGTAGACATTATATATCATTAACATTATATGAAACTAATTTTGCTTTACACTGAATGCCACCTGGCCGTATTTTTCTCCTTGAAGCACAAATTATCAAACATAACACAATACCCCTTAACTTCAAGAAATTTTCAACTCAATATGATAAATACAATATCTATAAATAAAAATCCAGTATAAAAAGAATACATTTTTCCCCATAAGAAGGAAAAACGTTATTTTCAAAAGCTTTCCATGAAGTATAAAAGCTTCAACGAAAAATAAAATTATAATCATTTATATGTAAAAGATATCCATACAAACCACTAATTTTCCCCCTAAGCTAATGAATAAGTCATCACAAAAATGAGGTATCAGAAATAAAAGGATCCTAATAATTTTGGATCTTCAGGTGGTAGGAGACCCTTTACCAGGCAGAACTGTCAGCATTTCTGCGTAAAAATCTCCTCCCCAAGCAGAGAAAAACTGTGAGATAAGAAGATCCTAGGAAAGTAAACTTTGAAGTCTCCTTTCATGGATCTAGGGCCTAATCTAAATGTTTTTCAGAGGATAAAAATGTATTCAGTAAAAACAAAACAAAAGTAGAACATGGCTACCAAGTGAGGCTGGCAATGGCCCTATCTCTTTGCAGTAGCAACAAAGGATGTGTTTGATGTCAAATCTGAGGTTGTCTCAGACACGCTCACTGACTGTATCAGACTGAGAGCTGGTTCTCAGGCTCGGGTTTGGTCCTCCCTCTGTAGTTAGTGCATTGGTCAGTCCAGTGCAACACCCACCCCCCCGATATTTTTATATTATTTTACTTTAGAACACAGTATTTTGGGGGCCCAGAGTCTAATTATTAGTAATATTAATACTATAATTCTACTAGATGCACAGCCAGCAATGAATCCAGTATGGTCATTTTTAATAATGTACTATTTTTTCATGAGAGAGTATTCTCTATAATATTTCGAAGAAACCACAAATATTATGCTCCTATTTTTTTTATCCAAAATGACATTTGTTGGATTCCAAGACATGGCGTTGAAAAGCATAAACAATTTTGTTTCTGGGTGTGTGTGTGTTTTTTCCTTTCAACTTTCTATTGCGAGGGAGAAAGGAAGAAATGTAAGTCATACTTGCCCTGTCTGTAAAATTTGAAGTATAAAGACAGCTCTTACCAGCATAAAATAAAGAACCAATGACATTGGACCTATAGTCGCCAATAATGTATTGTACACTTAAAATTTTAAGAGGTGGATCTTGTGCACCTTCTGCAACAAAATAAAATTTAGAAAAAAATCCCAATGAATTTACTTTAAAAAGTGCGCACAGTCTATTAGTTCACAGAGTTTTTCCGTTTTCTTATCCCACACTTCCACAAATGGGCTATTTTTCTTAGCAATGTAGAGAACCCTGTCCGCCACCACTGCTATGATGTTGGAGTCACTGACAGCTGCATAAGAAAACCTAGGAGGGGAAAAAAGAAGGTCACTACTATTCATTTTTCTTCTATTTTAAAATGCAATGTGAGCCTGAATGAGTTCTTTTTTTTTAAAATATATTTTATTGATTTTTTACGGAGAGGAAGGGAGAGAGATAGAGAGTTAGAAACATCGATGAGAGAGAGACATCGATCAGCTGCCTCCTGCACATCTCCCAGTGGGGATGTGCCCGCAACCCAGGTACATGCCCTTGACCGGAATCGAACCTGGGACCTTTCAGTCCGCAGGCCGACGCTCTATCCACTGAGCCAAACTGGTTTCGGCCCTGAATGAGTTCTTAATGCACATAAAATATTAACACCATTTTGGAGAAAAAAACAGGCTAGTGTATTGGCAGGGTTTTTTTTTCCACTTTTCTAATATGAACTAAATATATGTATGGTACTTCACTTATTTTTGGTCACTTTATACTTTTCACTTGAAAATAACATAAATTAAAGATCATAATTAATGTTTATTTCTGGTTTTAATTTTAATTTCAGTTTTATCTTGTTCTTTAATATATATATTTTTTTTATTTCAGAGAGGAAGGAAGAGGGAGAGAGAGAGAGAGAAACATCAATGATGAGAGAGAATCATTGACCATCTGCCTCTTGCACATCCCCTACTGGGGATTGAGCCCATAACCCAGGCATGTACCATGAACAGGAATCGAACTGTGACCTCCTGGTTCATAGGTTGATGGTCAACCACTGAGCCACACCAGCTGGAGCTTATCTTGTTCTTTATAGAATTTTATACTGCCCAAATATCCAAACCATCCTAGTTTCTAAAGGAAATGTCATCATAATATCAGTGACTTTATGATGTGGCAAGAAAATTCCATTAAGTGTTAAAAATGAAGTGTTAGCCATCTATACCTAGAGTTATAAAACGTAAGTTGTTAAAATAAATTTTAGTGGCAACATCTGCAAATATTAAAGCAAAAGGTACCTTTGTATAAACAAAAGCCAGTCAAGTTATAAGAGAAGAAAAAATCCACATCTTTCCCTCTTTGAAAATAAAGAAAAATGACAAGCATTTTAAAATATCAATTTTTCAACCTAGCACATTTGGCATTTTACATATTTTGCAAACAGATTGGCTAACATAGGCTCCATCTGTATTGGCAAACTTCTAGTTAGCCTTTGTGACTTAACTTAAATGTCAGCTCCTGTGAAATTCTTGCCTGACCTATAAAAATAAACTAACCATTCTTTTTTCCACCACTAGTGTAATATTATAGATCTTATCTATATATCTAATAGCATAAGCAACCTGCTGACTGGCCGGTAGCTATGACGCACAATGACCACCAGGGGCAGATGCTCAAACCGGTAGCTATGACACACACTGACCACCAGGGGGCAGCCGCTCAACACAGGAGCTACCAAGCTGTGGTGACTTGGCAGCTGTGATTCTTGGGTGATGCAACCAGAAGCAGAGAGCAGAGAGCCCGATTCCAGAGTGCATCACCCGAGAACCACCCTCTTGCAATCCGGGACCCCTCAGGGGATGTCGGAGAGCTGGTTTTTGTCCAATCCCCACATGCCAGGCTGAGGGATCCCATTGGTGCACGAATCCATGCACCGGGCCTCTAGTTAAAAATAAAATTGCATTAGTGTGTCCCTGATGCTAAATTGTATATGTAAATGCTTAAGACAAA